GATAATTGTTATTTCATAGATCAGTGTATGAAAGACACAAACTTTGTAGATCTAATGATAAAATGGTGGTGTCAGAATACTCCTGGTGGGATGTTCCCAGAGAAATGTTTATATCTATGACGCATTTATAGGTTTTTAAAAAACGGTTGTTAACTTTTTTGTGATTTTCCATAACAATTTTTCATGAGAATTGTTATAAAAAAATTAAAACAGAAACTTTATGGGTACACCTTTGGTTTGGCTTTGATATTATGTGATTAATTGGTGCACTTTCTACAAAACTTTGTCCCAGTTTTCGAATAATTTGTTTCAGAATGAAATTTAGGTCTTCAAAGGTGAAATGAGATATGACACTCATTAGTTAAATCAATATATCTCCTAACTGAAGGCACATATAAAAAAGATCTGAGTCACTGTTTTGTAGCGCGTGTGTGATCAATACAAATTTTTACAACCATTTGACCTGAACGTGGTATTTTCATCAAAGTTGGATGACAACAATTTTTGCAGTTAATATCTTTTATTGATGATATCAAAAATAACTTTATCTCTGGAGTTATATTTCAGCTTTTGAATGATTTGAAGATTTTAAAAATCAACTGAAAACTTTCAGAGAAATGAATCTTTGTAAATCCAGAAAATCAGACTGTAGTGCTACCCTAAATTGCAAAATAGCAAAGCAAAGATGTCTTTAAGGTTCGGAAATTGTTCTAATATAGCGATAATCATAGTTTATAAATGTGCATACTGTAGGTTTTTTTTAATATCCCATATCATAAGAAGTATTCAGTGATATAAATGATTGCTGGATACTGTAAAATAAAGATTTTAAAGGGACAATCAAAAACCATTCGTCGAAAAATTGACAATAGCATGTCAAAAAGAGAATTGCAACGAAAAGACAAATAAAAAAGGTAGATATTCCAAAAAGGCAATACAAAAACATAAGTCGATGAAAAGGACAACAACATGACCGAAAAGAGAAAAGAAGACGAAAAGACAATCAAAACACTACACAAAAAAATAAGACCTGAGCATCACGGACTCCTACAAACTCCTACAAACAGGGGATGATTTCTGATAATAACGGTAAATCCGAAAAAGCGCGTCAGACACAACTTCATAAAGCGGTATTTTCTTTATATACCAACTGATAACAACTGGCGAGGCTCATGACTTTAACATGGACATATACATCGAGCATGATTAATTGTAGTTTAAGCTTTTCCTTTTTTATCATTTGCTTTTTTGCGTATTTTTCATAAATTTGATAAATTATTAGTATTTACTATCACAGTGTCGATAAAACTGCTGATGGACTTTGAATTTAGAAATTGTAAAGAAACTTATGTTTCGACTTACAATTATTTACTCAGGCAAAGTTAAAAGAAGATGGTTTGGGTTGTCCTTTTTTGGAATCATTTGATCATTTAGCTGGTCAAGTTTATCCAGAAAGTGCTTCTAAAGTGTTATTTTTTTATACATATTTAAAAGGGACATGTATTGAAATAATTGTAATTATCTCCATATTCAGCACTTCAATTTGAGATTTCGGGTGTTGTTAGACTACCAATCAGTTATTTTAAGCCATCCTTGAAGTTTCATAAAATGCATATTTCTCAAGATATTACAATACACCATTCAAGTGGGACTGATATTGTTTTGAAAAATGATATATGAGATATATTAAAATATCAGATATAAACATGCATTCCATTTCTACCCAAGATAAAAAAGGCATGTTTTGAGTGATTTCTGGTAGAAACATAACCAATATTTTGATAGATTCAAATATTAAAATAACATGAGATTACAACAAAGTATTGAAATCTCATAGAAAATATCATTATACAGCTAATTATTAAACAATATTCTATTCAAATTGACTTAAACTGTTTTGAATTCTTTCGATTTAATTTTCATGATTTAAGTAACTTTGAACTTCTAGATTTTAGTATCCTTGGTGTTTAACCGAAATGATTCACATATAAGCTTCAGTAATTACAGAACAAAATCAGGATAACAGGAAATTACACCAAGTTCTAATAACAAGCCTATCCATTTTTGCACGAAACACAATTTCCAAAATGTTGCCTTTTTTATTTATTCATTTTTGATTTATCTGATAATCCTTGTTGATTTTTATATTTTCATAGACAATTTAAAAGAAAGAGGTCATCAAAAGTGCATTCTTGGTGATTATCCGAAAGGAAATATAAAATAGATGTACATGATAAATGTACGCATGTAATCATACATGGCATGGACCAAGTGATATACAGCTTATGATATTACAATAAACAAAACGCATTTATAATATCAAATGTTTGCGATGCTGTGTCAGGGTGGCAAGTGCTTTAAATTTGTAAATAACAATGCACAGGTGGTATTAAAGGGGCATTAGCTACGAGATATAGAAAACAATAGAAAGCTTGACATAGGGATAGTGATCCGGCGGCGGCGGCGGCCACGGCGTCGTTAACTAACTTCTTAAAAGCTTAATATTTCAGAAGGCAGAAGACCTGGATGCTTCATACCTTGTATATAGATGCCTTATATTATGAAGTATCCATCTGTCACATGTCCTTTGTCCTTGACATCATTTTCATGGTTCAGTGGCTACTTAAAGTTAAGATTTTTTGAAATGTTAATTTCTCTCTTATCATGAGTAATAGGATAACTATATTTGGTATGTGCATACATTGCACAGTCCTCATTTGACCTCGACCTCATTTCATTGATCAGTGAACAAGGTTAAATTTTTGTGGTCAAGTCCATATCTCAAATACTATAAGCAATAGGTCTACTATATTATGTGTATGGAATGATTGTAAGGTGTACATGTCCAACTGGCAGGTGTCATCTCACCTTGACATCATTTTCATAGTTCAGTGGTTAAAGTTAAGTTTTTGTGTTTAGGACTATTTTTCTAATACTGTATGCAATAGGTCAGCTGTATTTGGTGTATGGAAATATTTTATTATGTGCATGTCAGTCTGGCAGGTTTTATTTGACCTTGACCTCATTTTCACGGTCCATTGCTCAATGTTAAGTTTTTTTGTGTTTTAGTGTGTTTTTCTTAAACTGTAAGCAATAGGTCAACTATGTTTGGAATATGGAATGATTGTAGTGTTTATATGTCTGTCTAACAGGTATCATCTGACCTCGATCTCATTTTCTTTATTCATTGGTCAATATAAAATTTTCATGGTTTGGTTAGTTTCTTGTATACTATATGCAATAAATCAACTACATTCAATGTATGATATGATTCTAAGGTGTACATGTATTTCTTGCATGGTTTATCTGACCATGACTTCATTTTCGTGGATCATGATAAGTTAATGTGATACTTGTACTTAAACTTAATATTTAGGGCTATCAACATAAAATCAATAGTAGAACAGCAGGCGAGACATTTCTGCGTGTGCACTCTTATTTTTGTGCAGTTATAAAAGAAAATGAAATAGCGAAATAATAATTCGCTTTTAGCAGCATGTTTGGTTCAATTTTCTCAAAATAAGCTAAGAAACATCGCTGACGAACTATTCACTTGCAAGTGAATAATTCGACCTCATTTAATCCGTATTCATGTGACTTTCTGTTTAACCCCTTAGCTAGAGATGGTTTTAAGCATGAACTAAGCGTGTTCAGCTATGAGAAGGAAAAGAATGTCAACATTGAAAGTGAAACAAGGATTAGCCATTTGGTTGATTGATTCGATCCACAAAAAACTTATTCTTATACAGGTAAAAACGGTGATTAGCATATTTGTTTAACCTATAAAAAATCCAATTGCACGTGTTCGCTATCTATTTATATCTACATTTATGTTTATATAGGGTTTATGACCATCGGCAATCTTCGGAGGTCCCCTCGATTGTTGATAAGATGGCGTCTAGACTTAAATTAACACGAAATGCGGATACATATTATCGACTCCATGCTGTGTTAATTGTTCGTTTTAGACTTTTTATCTTTTTATAAGTTAGATATACATTTTAGTAGTTTATAAATCAAAAATTAGAATTTGAGTCAAATCGGTGAACATGAATTTGACAGCAAATGCCCCTTTAAGATCTGGAAATCGGCCCAATAAAATGGATTTTATTGTTATAATTTAGCGGTTCTCGTTTTTCACACATGCGCATCAATGTAAACTTTTAGTAAATATCAATATTTTGACGACAAAAATATCTTTAATTAAATTCAAATAGCAATGGATCTTTTTTTCGTGCATTCATTAGGAGATGCATGTTTTTCTCTAGGCAGGAACAATAGACTATCTGCAATACTTCCAGATTCATATTCAAGCTTTAGAAGGAACAACAATCCATTTCCAAAAGTTTTCTGGCTGTATATGATAAACATATCATACCTTTTGATTGACTCGCATTGTTTATTCACAGTAATAATATTTAAAAATAAGGCTAATTTACCATCTTTTAAAATCAGCAGGATATCCTTTATTAAATCAATCAAAGAATTTCGCACAAACTTATTGGAATTGCAATATTTCTTGGAAAACATAAGATTATAAAAATCCACCGTTTCAATTTTACCATCTTAGTTTATACACTTTGTGTGAAGCAGAAACTATCCTAAATGACCATCAAATTGCAAATTTGTCATTGGAAACATAAATGTATCAACAAAATTTCTTAAAAACATTTGCCTTTTTTTTTAGATGCAATAATAGAATGTTTGTTGTGAATTTCTGACCAATTTTTATAGACAGGAATATGGACATATATGCAAAAAAAAAAACAAAGTTCAATTGTCCCATCTATTTATAAGTCCGTGATTAAAGCATGTGGCACCCGTTGTGTTGCTCTTTTTTACTCAAATGATATCTCGTCTGGTTTAGATGTATGTTTATTTCACCAACAATGTGTAGTGTAAGGTTTTCTCTGTTTGAAGGCCCTTGTTTAATCATGTGCATGTAATGATGATTTTATTTTATTTGTTTGTATATATTAACCTTGGGTTCCAAATGGTTATTTCTGTGTTAAACGCAGTATGTTCGTTATCCTTTACCTGTGATATGCTATATATATGGACATGTTTATTAATTAACAAGCACACTTTTACAATGACCGTCAACTTTCTTTATCGTTAAGGTATTTGTCCGGAGTTTCGCTTAACTAAAAGGTAAATGCGTTCTCATTTTTTATCGATTTTTGTCTGTTCTTCAAAGGATATATTTTCAACTTTGCATATTTTAGGTAAGTAAGACTTATAGTATCTCTGTTCGTTGGAAATACATTTACGTTCTTTTTGTTTCCATTTTAAGAACAATTTGCAATAAAAACTTCTTTTTATTCTCGCTATAAAAATATGATTTCATTGTAGGACGATTTATCGGAACTCAAAGAACAAAATTGAGAATAAAACAGCTTTATATTTCATTATAACAAATGATCTATACTATATGAACCAATAATTGAAAGCATATACACAATTCCTTGCCTTTAAAGTAGCCAGGCGGATATATTCATTTATATTATAGGCCACCTGTATATTTATATATGATTTTATTTTGTTGGAGTTTCAGTTTTCGGTATAATAATTTTTTTCGAAGTATCCATTGTTTTCATCCTTGAATAATGTTTCCTTATTCCTAATGCTTTTTGTTTTCCTGTGTCGCTCTGAATTTCCATTTCCCTACCTGTCTATATGGACTTTTTTTCGATAGTTGAAGTGGAATCAATATTCTAACTTTCTACATAAATTACAAGCAAGCTGTTCTTTGCAAGTTCGATTGCTAAAACCTTAAGCTTAAGTAAAGAGACAATGGTTTGTCATCATGGTAAGGCGTTTTTAATAGGGTTGAAGTTACTCATCACCGAACTTGAAATAGATTGAAACAAAACAGCAGAGACAAGAAGTTCTGCCATTTTATGAAATTGATGTTGTTGGACGATTGAAAACTCTGATATATAACAAATGCGATGATTTAAGTTTCCTATTGTCAAATCTAATTAGTTTGTAAAACATACCATTTTCCACAGCGTATTGCGTTTATGTATTTCTGTAGATATTTCAAAGCTTTTGGTGGGGTTCGTGTTGCTCAGTCTTTAGTTTTCTGTGTTGTGTTTTGTGTACTATTATTGTTTGTCTGTTGGTCTTTTTTTTTTTCTAGCCATGGCGTTTTCAGTTTATTTTCGACTTACAGCAGTAAAAGCGCTGTTTCTTTGCTTTTTGTATGTTTTGTTATAGTGCATTTACTGATTTTGTGTCATGGATGGATATCCCATATCCTTTGTTTTTCTATTATGAGTTTAAATGTTCCATTCGCCTCTCTTTTATACTCATTATAGCGATTTTCTTAAAAGAGGTATACTATTAACATAAAAACTACTCCTGAAAGCAAGGAGATGAAACTCCAAACTTTGTGTGGTCCCAATCCTTAATTTTACGATAGTGAGTGTCTCAATTTCCTAACTCACTGTGATATTTTAACTGTCATTGATCACAAATGTCCACCAATGTGTCTTATGATATTATTACCGGTTACGGTAGGTTAATTGATTTGAAATTACTTGATGGGACTTTTGAATCGTGTGACGGGTGATGAATGCATCACAGAAAATGCTTACACAGTTGACCGATTTTGTTTAATATTAATTAAATATAAAAATAAGAAGATGTGGTTTGATTGCCAATGAGACAACTCTCCACAAGAGACCAAATGACACAGACATTAACAACTTTAAATCATTGTACGGCCTTTAACAATGAATAAAACCCATACCGCATAGTCAGCTATAAAAGGCCCAGAAATGACAAATGACAATTCTAACGAGAAAACTAACAGCCTGATTTATGTACAAAATAATGAACGAAAAACAAATATGATATACAGCAACAAACGACAACCACTGAATTACAGGCTCCTGATTAGGGACAGGCACATCTAGAATGTGGCGGGGTTAAACTAGTTTAAAGGCGACAACCCTCCCCCTTACCTGGGACAGTGATGTTACAGTACGACATAAGAAAAAACTATATAGTACCCTGCCACGTCTACTCTGTGTTTTTGTTACTTGTTTTTGTGCTTTGTATCTATATGATGCGTTAAGCCCTTTTCAACTGATTTTTATAGTTTGTTCATATGTTGTATTGAAACACCACTGTCCCAGGTTAGGGGAGGGTTGGGCGCCCGCTAACATATTTAACCCCGCCACATTCTGTATTGGAAATATAAACACCGTTAGATGGTGCCAAGGGAACATCACTGTCCAAAAAAGGAAAATTAACAATAGAGAAAGAAAAAACGTCCCTTTTGTCGTACATTTTAGTGTAGAGTTTCTCGTGTAAAACTGAAATATCTTAGGACAGTTATTACCGGTTATGTTTGTTTCATTTTAAGTAAGTACCTTTGGTTAAATTTTGGCAGTATATTTAGAAAATTCTTGATTATTTAACGAAAAATATCATCAAGAAAAAGTTCATTCAATTCCATATTTTCATTTTATATTTTCATTCTCATCTAATTATATGACATACACTTTGACCAAAAGAAAAAAAGTTTATACTGTATACGGCAATAAAGAGTTTTCTTACGAAAAATAAGTACCTATTCATTTTGGAAAACTTTCGAATTATTTAAAAGATGCACAGATTTAAAAATCAATTGAAAAAAAATAAATCTGTAAATAGCTTACATTTATACGCTAACGTGAACATCTTTTTTTCTAAAAAAAATGCAAAGAATAAAAATAGCGTAATTATTATGGTGGTAGACACTTTTTTGCGTCAATGACATGACAAGAATTAATGATATAGTATAATGTTTTGTTCTTGTTTGTCATTATAATAAACAATTTCTCCACTTTGCAGAAATAGTTAGACAGACAGTAAATAGATTAATTGTATGTACTGATTATTAACCTTGAGTTGTGTCTTTTTGTTTTGTCATTAACATGTGTATATTATGTAATACCTCATGTAACACATTGTATCTGTGTGCTATTCAAGGTCTTGAAATCTTGCAAAATCTAGGGCTATAAATTGCAAAAGAAATAGATTATGTGTTTTCTCAGATTTTATTATTCATTTGTTGTAAAAAAAATTGTAGGTATATGTATTGGTATAAGTTTGAATGGTATACTAAAACTTTTTGAAACTGATATAACAAAGGTGTGTACTTGTAAAATTCAATGTTTTAGCTTCAATTCGTTACATTTTGCTTCCTCTTGTCTTTTGAATAAAACTTTTATAGTCTTATTCTCGTTGAAGAAATAAGCAAAAAGTTAAAACTGCGATACCTGGTTTTTAAAAGATTAATTTAGAATAAGGAGATCTGCCATTGTTACCAATGAGACACCTTTAAAGTCCAAATGCCAAAAATTTAAGCAACTATAGGTCACCGTACAACATTCAACAGAGAGCTTAACCCAGACTGGATAGTTAGCTTTAAAAAGACCTCAATATGACAAAATGTGAAACAATTCAAACGAAAACAACAACGGTCTGATGCATTACAAACCAATAAACAGAATGACAAATATGACATCAACCAACGCGAACAGCTGAAGACAACCTCGTTACATGTGACAGACACATTGCCCCCCCCCCTTTTTCCACAACCGTAAGCATATTTTCAGGGTTTTGAAATCAAAATTTGAAAAATTGTTCAAGAGACATTAGTCTGTCAGATATCAGTATTGATAATTTGAATTTTGGTGAAAATATAAGCTTAAGGGATTCACACTTCATTATTAAATAAGAACTGCTAGAATATCTTAGTTTTGAGATCTTGTCGATAATACTTAGACATGAGGCACAGCTTTGTCAAAAAAGATATTTTGCTACAAAACGAGTTATACAAATAAAGTTTACGTTACCACTTTTACTGCACCAGATTCACATTTGGATAATGAATTTCTCTTTAAGTAATGATTGAGTCCAAAATGCTTATATTTTTAGATAAGTGTGTTGCTCATATCTCATTTTGCCAAACACTATGCGCTCAATGGACATTTTAGGTCAAGTGTGTCTATTTCGTAGGGTTAATGTTACGACTACCACCGGGTCGATACTACAACAGATTGACTGTTAGCCCCCGAGGGTATCACCAGTGTACTAGCTCAGTACTTTGGTACTGGCATTTAAATATGAATGTTGATTAATTGAGATTTGTTATAATGTGTTATTATGTAGGAAATCAAATTAAAATATTAATGTATTATCTCCCTAAAATGTAATGCTTTGATTTCGTGTCCTCTTCAAAGTTTGCTTAATGTTTTCGATTTGCAAAATATTTTGGACTCGAGAGACATTTAAAGTAAAAATGTGCATATGGTGCAGTAACATTGGTAACATTCATGTTATGCGACATATTCCTGACTTCATAATTAAATTACCTCGGATAGTTCTGCACTTAATTCGCAGATTAGATTCATTTATCAGTAAAATTAACATAATTTTAAAAGAATTGAAGTAATTTTCCGTTGATAAAAGGAAGATAATTGGTATCGTTCTTCTTTCTTTCTTTTTTGTTGTAACTGTGCTGTTTGTTACCTTTAAAGATCAAAGAACAGTGCTTTATAGTGAAATCATCAAAAACATTTTTTTTATAAATCGTATCAACAAAATAAGAAGATACGAAAGAGTCAAGCTTAACCATTTATCAAACAAAGGAAGACAAAAATATAACTAAATCGACTAGAAAAACTAGGAGTCATTTTTAGACATTTAATAAAATCTAAGCGATACAAAAAAGGCATACATATATGAAGGGTCATACGACATACGTTTAAACGTTCGCTGGTGAAGCGCGTTGCAGTTTGTAGGGGCAACTTTTACTGGTTAGAACATATTTTTGTAACTCCTAGAAAAGACGAGTTCATTACAAATATAAGGGATATCGAACTTCAAACGTACAATATTTGCAACGCATGGCTCTTATTAGATGTTTCCCGATTTGCTACGTATCAGGTACGGTTTGTACTAACTCCAACCGTTAGATTTGTTTTTGGAAGTATCATTTAATGCATATTATTTCATTCATCTTGATAAAATTAAAGAAATCGAATTGCATAGCAAAATCTAGTTTAATCTTTTATTTGATAGCGATTTCATCTTTTCTAGAACACTTTGTTTGTGATTCTACACAAGATTATAGTTAGTGCACAAGTGCATGCATCAAACATACCTTACACGATTTGAGTTGAAATGGCCTTTTAATTTCTAAATATAGATTTGCGTTTCTGCTTGTTTAGCGTATGGTTTTTGTTTTATTTATTTATACTGAAAAATAATAATAGAGGAATATTTTCTTATGTATAAGCAATGTATAACAATACCATCTATGAACGACTTTCTTACAAAACGTGTGACTGATGTTGGTTAACATGTCAACAAGAACAACTGTCATATAGTTATAGTAAATTGCACCGACTCTCTTCTTGAAAGTACTTTTAGCATTGGTAAATCTTTCATACACCTGTTAGAAACGGTTTTTGTAAAATGCCGAAAAATATAAGAATGATAAAGATACTTAACAATAGACATTTTTGATCACCTAAATGATAATGTCTTACATTATGTTTCCTGATTGAATGTCCATGTGATATATTTGAGAAACTTGCACGATTAAGCTTCTGTATCGCGGAGGAGAATATAGTTTTAGTATTATTTCATCATTAAAACATCACTAATGAGGTGATTGTTGTATATTAAGATGGCTCTCATTTTTTCATGTTTTCTAAAAGCCTACAAAAAATATCAAAGTGAAATTAATACTAAGTTGCAGCTAAAAATCCTCCAAAATACTTTTGATAATGTTTCATAAGACATACGTTGACATGAAGCGTATACATCAAGTATTATCAAAAATCAATGACGGCTCCAAGTTCTTACTACGATTGGTACGGTAGCGAATCGGCAAATAAAAAAAGGAAGGGACTGTTACGCGTTACTCTAGGCTACGTGAACTAACTAACTGGTGCGTATTGTTCTAGGGTGCGCGAACAAATAGCAACGCGTTGCTCTAGGGTACGCAAATCAACCGCAACGTGTTGCTCTATGGTATGCTAATAAACTGTAACACGTTTCTCTATCAAACGTGTCAACAATTCATTGTGACTCGGATGGCCCTATATACATATGCCTCGAAAGAGTATGCATTTTAAGCTGTTATTATAACGCCCATCAATCTCATAAACTATTGTTGTCTTAAATCATTAAAGCAAAACAAAAAATACAATGAAAAGTTGTTTTCGGTGAGACGTTTACCCTGTCAACGAACCAAGTCTCGATCCTTTTTGGAGTCGACTCCTAAAATAAAATATATCTATACTGTGGATTCATTATTATTTTTTGAATACCAATTTTCTTGGGTTTCATTGGTACATGTGAACCACGAATTCAAATGTTCAACGAATTACAAATTTTCTATAGGTTTTGAGATTGGCAAAACCACGAAATCATATATCCACGATAATGCAATTTTCCTTAATCCACGAAAATTGTTACCCACGAATAAATGAATCCACAGTATATGTAAAGCAACATATTACATTGTATTTATCCTTAAAAAACTTAAATAAACGGATTTTTTTTTTAAATTTTAGAACTGAAAACTCAACACTAGAAACAAGTGGAAAAATGAGAAATTCATCAATGTCTGATGGAACTCAAACTGGTGACACTTTAAGTCACAGAGAGCGTATGTATTATTTAAATAGTAGCAGCATGATAGTTCACTCCGTAACAATGAAGATTTTTTTTAAACACATTACAACTTGTTTAAGTACTTGAATAATAAAATATAAAAAAATCTTATTTGAAGAATAAAATTGAACACCTATTGAACATTCTTTACTTGTTGAATGAAATTTCTATTGTCTTGTACCAATCATCAGATCACATATTTTGGAGTTTGTTATACTTTAATTATGATCACACCAGAATTAACAATAATACCATTACGTCATCGGTTTTCACTGTATTACTTAAGTTTGAAAACATGTATATACCTTATTGATTAATATTCATGTTTTTGTAATTTTCTACTGCTTCCCTAAGACTCAAAAGTTTGAAAACAAAAAAATATTGACTAGAAAAATTTGAGTTTATATATTCATATACAACGATCCCTTCAATTTTTATAGAGATGGCAAAGTACAGCGTTGCTTACAAAACCCAGAAACTAATTTGGATCATATAACGGAATAAGAAATTCATCAATTAATTAGAAACTTTTGATTCTCTGTAAAGGTTATAGAAATTCACATAATGATTCAGAAGTTGCTGATACAAGCTGCCTATGTCTCTCTTATTAATATTTATTGCCAGTGAAACGTTTCATTTATATATACCTTAAAACACTATCAAATATACTGTATGTAGATATAAGAAGATGTGGTATGACTCTCCATCCAAGTCAAAATTTATAAAAGTAAACCATTATAGGTCACAGTACGGTCTTCAGCACGGAGCCTTGGCTCACACCGACAGTAATCTATAAAGGGCCCCAAAAAATTACTAATGGAAAACCATTCAAACGGGAAAACCAACGGTCTTATCTATATAAAAAACGAGAAACGAGAAACTATTATGAACCACATCAACAAACGACAACTACTGAACATCAGATTCCTGACTTAGGACAGGTGCAAACAAATGCAGCGGGTTTAAACGTTTTAATGGTACCAAACCTTCACCCTTTTTCTGAAACAATAGTGTAACATCACAACATAGAAAGACACACTATAAAATATCATCTGAAATATCTTAACTCAATCAAAGGACATATTAACACCATTGAACATACACTGAACAAATAAATTTGACCTATGACACAATGTAAATACAAAATAAATAAACTAAGGGTAGAATAATAAAAGTAACATGTTATATCGGTAAGAAATGTTAAACAATTAAAGAAAAACTATATGCTCGAACAAAAATATCAGCCATTTGTAATAACTATAAACACAGGTAAATGAAAATAATTTTGTTGTTAGGTATACGTGTACAGTACCAATAGAGAAAGGAAATATTTTTACAAAATAAATAATTTTAATGTTCATAGTACGAAGTGAAAATTTATAGTTATACCAAACACTTATCAAAGCTGGTATATAGACCAGATATAACCCTGAATAACATTAAATAACAAAAAAGCAATACAATTAGTATCAACAGGTCAAATAAACAAGAAAGTACGATTTGAGAGTACTCGCAGTTACTGACAGCTAGTTAAAAGCCAAAACAATTAATAATAAAAAATCATGCATCAGAGACTAAAACCAACTAAAACACACCCCAGGGATTTAGTATTTTAACTTCATGGACAGTCAAAGAAGACATGACTAGTGCAATGCCAAAAATAAATGTATCGACAGACAGTAGGATAGTTAGGAGCCTGTCTCAAATAAGGAGCCTATAGTTCAGTTGTTGTTGTTGGTTGAATTCTGTCGTATATGTTTTTCGTACATTGTTTTGTTTTGAATTAGGCCGTTAGTTTTCTGCTTTGAATTGTTTCACATTTTGCATGTCGGATCCTTTTATAGCCAATTATACGGTTAGGGTTTTTCTCATTGTTGAAGGTCGAACGGTGGCCTAAAATTGCTTACATGCACTTCATTTGAACTCTGGTGGATAGTAGCCCATTTGCATACATACCACATCTTTTTCTATTTCTAAGCTTATAGTTTTGTATACCTGACACGAGTTTCGTCTACATAAGAAGTAACAACAGTGGTGAACGAATCATAATAATCGAAAGCCAAGCAAGCTACAAAGTAAATTCCAACTCAAGAAATGTTTGTTTTATTTTGTTTTTTTGGAACTGAAACCTAAACAATAAGGACACTTTTCAAAATATGAAATTCTATAAACTTGTCTTTTTCAACATTCAGTCAGAACTTCACAATTGTGAATAGGTCACAATCGGTCATATTACAGATCCGTTGTTTTCATCTTATAGTTGATGTGTTTCCCTCGGTTTTGGTTTGTTACCCGAATTTGCTTTCGCTTAATCGATTTATGACTACTGAAAAGGGTATACTACTGTTGGCTTTATTTACGACTTTTTTTGGTATCTTAAGATGTAAGACAGCGAAAACATGTAGCTAGTGAAATGAGACACCAACACAGCGTATCGGTTTACCAATTCGTGATGGTGAATGTAAAACTTATGTAGTGTCGATTTCAATCGGACTTCCTCATAACTATGTTGAAACTGTTTTTGTGTACGGAGCATCCCTGTTAACGAACATCAACGAGCATACCGTATAAACTGAGATATGTAAAAACCGTACAACAAAGCAGAGGATATGTTACTATTGAGAAATGGGAAGTTGACAATTAGAAAGTTGAATTCATCCCGTTTTAATAGATTTTGATTTAAATTTAGAACAAAAAGGACACGGGTTGTGTTGTTATTGTTATATTTGTAAAAAAAAATGCCATTTTACACATCGTTTTTGACAAAATTGATATGAGCCAAGGCATTATCCAAAATAATATTTTACACTGTCATATTAACATCTGTGTAATATGCAATTTATAGCATTAAACCTTTTGGGCAAATGCTTGGCCCATATCTAACCTCACTACACAATATTTCTGCAATTTTCTAGTTTCGACTAAAATCAAGAATTTTGAAGCCTCATTGCAGAATATATAAGACAATATTCATAATCATTAATGATGTCAGACAAATGTCTTCTGAATATATGAAGGATCTTATTTGGTAAATATATAATTTTTGAATTCAAAGGGCCAAAAAATATTCTTATCATACATTCTCTCTTTATAAAAAAATTAAACTAAGATCACATCCGGTTTTTTATTGGCTTCGTGTTGCATAGACTTTAGTTCCTATGTAGTATTTGTTTTTGGTCGGTTTTATATTTTGCAATGGCGTTGTCAGTTTCTCTTTGATTCTTTACTGTACCCTTGTTTTATTCCACCTCTTTATTTTTCTCTCAGACGTCACAAAGCTGGCCTTTAGGATATTCCATACATGTACTTTTTGAATGTTTAGCTCCTTACGTATAAATACAGTTATATATTCTTGGTTTTCACAGAGGTTCGGACATTCATGATAAAAGTTAATCCAGAAAAACGCATCAAACGCATCAAATTCGTAAATTTTTATTTCAATTTGATTGATACACTTTGATTCACACGACACGAAATAACTAAGAAAAATGTGGTTTTGCTAAAAAAAAACTAAAAAAGAGAAAAGGGAAAAGAATACTAAGATAAATAAGAGTAGATTGAGCATGTTCTAATCAAATTTTCCAAATACGAAAATCACGCTTCCCATATTTAAGGATGTTCTGCCTGCTAACATCTAAAGCATTTTTTAAAATCCATACACCCCCTTGGTCAAATATTCAAAATTAATTATTTTTTTGTTTGTTTGCAGGTATTCGATCCATATCTAGATTAGTTCTAGATCTGATCACTAAAAATGATGAAAAGACACCAGTTGTTTTTTGTCAGTTGGATGTATTGACAAAGACGGACGAGGAGGTAACGTGGATGGAATCTGCAAGGTATAATGTATAGACAATAATGTAATGGTACGAGTGATGTTCAAAATATATGTAATCTTATACAAATTAAACAGTTCAGGCTAGATTTGACAATATTTTTTGGACTTATGTTTGATTTTCTATGTATCTTTTATTATTCTGAGTATCGCGGGAATAGGATAAGGGATGAATACTTATAAAATCAAATAACAATACCACTTTAGAAATGTGGTGTGTCCAAAGCAGCTTTCTGGATTTACATTCATCTGTTCCACCTGAAACATTTGTGTGAAACACTCATAACCAAAAATTTAAAACCAAAGGATGGAGCAAGGGAGCAAGGGAGTTGGAACTATAGTTTCCAAATAATTTTCAAATCAATGAACTAAACATTTAATAAATGGAATTTATAAATCATGGCAGTGCAGAAACACTGACCACTTAGCCTATGATACCATTCGGAACCTACGATCAGCATTGCTGTTAACTCTGTGCTAGTAAATGATAAAAACATTCAAATTTAAGTTATTCAAAGCGTTACCGAAGCGTTATCTGAATTATAGTTCATCATAAAAGCTCAAAGACAAACATTTTTAAGCTCAGGGTTATTTAAATACTTGAACAGCTATATGACCAAACAATAGCATATATATATATTATCAAAACGCATCTTCACCTGCGTAATTTGGAACCTTAGTTGCCTTTTAATTCTTAAATTTACCAACAAAAAATTTAAGAAATATTTGTAACAACTAAAGAACCACCTTTGTAATAACGATACGTAACATTGGTGTATGAACTCTTACATCGCATCAAGAAGCAAGATAATGTTCATTACATTGAAACATGTATCATTTGCTGTGTTCAAACGCATTTGCTATTACACAAACGTACGCATCATGAAAGTAACACACTACCACCTAAATATTGATTTCTTAATGAATTGCAATTAGTTAAAATCTGAAAATAAATTACCATTTAAGATGGGTTAAGTATGAAGAGGATGTTGAAGAGAATGGGAAACGTTGGTCAAAACCACACGTCTCCTCTGTAACATTACACTATCTTCTTGAGTTAAAGACACAGATGTCAACAGGAGCAATAATACTTGAGGCTCATGTTAGAAGTATGCCTGAATTAGCTGGTAAGTGCATCTCAGTCTTAGACCGACTATTTCAATTATTGTCTTAAAATATATCTACGTTTAAATTCCACATCGCCCTTGTAATTTAGATACTGTTTATCACGAGAGGTGGTGATGCAATTGTATATTTCTGATTTCAGAGTTACACAATTGGTTCAATGATTGTTCTGCAGTTAATCCGACCTAAAATGTAAAAACAAGATGCCTTACTAACGAGCAATGCATTCTACACTTTAAATAAAATAAAGCACATACCTTTCCTACATACAATTTACCATCATATTTGACATGTAAATATCATTTTTTATGTTTACAGAACTGATCACTGAAGAGCTAGCAAAAATAAGAACCATGACGAAAAACACTAAAAATTCAATAAGATCCACATTGTTAACACGCCACGAGCATGAGCAGAAACGTAAACACAGAGCTACGAAGATGAAATCAAGCATAATAACACATTGCAAGATGCCTAAAAGTAAGTCAAATCGCCTATCCACTTTTGAAATCAATATAGGGTCCTGTCTAATACATTTTATAAAAAGTACCACAAACTAAATTTTGGTATACGTCAAAAATTATTATGCGTCATAATTATGTTGTACATGATGAATTAGGTTTATACAAACGCTTTATATTATTCAAGTGTAAAATTTTTTTTAGCTGGAGGCTAAAAAAAGCCCGTTTCGCTCACCTTAGTCTATATGCATATTCAACAAAGGACACTCTCCACCATTGTAGACGAGAATAGAATTAATGACAAAAATCTCTCGTTTTTTTTTTATCTTATATTGCTGATCATTGAAAAGTTTCTCTCTATCTTATTTAGCTTTTGCTCCAAACACAAAAGAGGGTAAAAAAAATTCCTAATTTAAGGGCAATAACTCCTATAAAGAGTAACAGTCTACTAATTATATCGGCAAAATTTGACTTGTAAGTAGGTCTTGTCTTGCTTATCATTTTGATTATTTAAGTTTCTATCTATCTATTATAATTTTTATCATATAAGGCAAAACGCCAAAAAATAGTAAAAATCGTCATTTAAGGGCAATAACTCCAATAAAGTTTCTTCGGACAATTTTTACCATTTATCTTAAATGTAGATCTTGTCTTGCTGATCATTTTTGTTAATTTAAGTTTCTTTCTATCTATTATAATTTTTAAGATATAAGACAAAAACGCAAAACAAATTTGAACAAATCGTCATCAAAGGACAATAACTCTAATAAGGAGTCAATTGACGATTTCAACCATAAAACTTATTTGTAGAACTTGTCTTTCTGATCATTTTTGCAATTTAAAGTTTCTCTCTATCTATTATAGTTTTCAAGATAATCGACAAAAATAAAAAAAAAGTGGTAAAACTTGTCATTTAAGTGCAATAACTCCTACAGGAAATCGTCTGACAGTTTTGACGCATATGGACAATTGGTAGAGCTCAACATTCTAAACAATTTTATTCTTTCAGATTTCCTCTATTTATAACGGTTATCAGAATAATAGACTTGCATTTTACCCCATATGTTCTATTTCTAGCCACGTCGGCCATCTTTGTTAGCAGGCGGGGTCATCGGACACACTTTTTAAACTAAATAACCTATTTTTTTTGTGGCCAAGTTTGATTCTATTTGGCCCAGTAGTTTCAGAGGAGACGATTTTTGGAAAAGATCACAAAAATTTACGAAAAATTGTTAAAAATTGACTTTAAAGGGCAATAACTCCTTAAGGAATCAATTGACAATTTTGGTCATGTTGACTTATTTGAAGATCTTACTTTGCTGAATATGATAGCTGTTTACAGTTTATATCTATCTATAAAATATTCAAGATGATAACTAAAAACTGTAAAATTTCCTTGAAATTACTAATTCAGGGGCAGCAACCCAACAACGGGTTGTCTGATTCGTCTGAAAATTGCAGGGCAGATAGATCTAAACCTGATGAACATTTTTACTTAGTCAGATTTGCTCTCAATGCCGGACGTCGGGCACTTTTTAAAACTAGATACTCCAATGATGATTGTTGCCAAATTTGGTTAACTTGGACCCAGTAGTTTCAGAGGAGAAGATTTTTATAAAAGTTAACGACGGACGACGACGGACGACGGACGCCAAGTGATGAGAAAAGCTCACTTGGCCCTTTTGGCCAGGTGAGCTAAAAATACAGTTGTTATTGTTTACTTTAGTAATTTTAACCCTTTGATCTTGCCGGAGGTTTTGCAGCAAATATAAAAATATAAAAGATGTGGTATGATTGCCAACGAGACAACTCTCCACAAGAGACCAAATGACACAAATATACAGTAAAAGAAAAGGAAAATTAAAGCATTTCAGTTGAAACAAGATTATATTATTTTATTCAATTATTGATCAATTTCGTTAATTATAAATGAAAAGTTTTTTTATATAAATTATTTGGAAACGTTTTTCCTGTTTTAAGATTCAAGTATCTAGTTATTTTTTTTGGACCAGAGATGAATTGTGATTTTTACATCTGACATTGTACTCAGTTTTAATTGAAAATTTATGATTTAAGTTATTTTTAGGAAAACTAAGGGTGTCAATACACTTAGCAAAAACGTAGTTTTGACTTTTCTATCTTTGACGTATACCCAAAATCTTCTCTAATTCACACCATACTTAAATTATCTTATTGTACACTTTCGGAAGATTAACTTTTAATTTCATAATGATAGCCATCAGTGATACAGAATTCGCTAGAATAAGAGCTCAACATGAAGATGACTTACTTAGTGATAAGCAAGAGACGTCTCCCTTGGTGAAAGTGAGTATTTGTTTATAAATGATTTATACTATCAATTACGGTTTCATGCTTTTTTTATTCTCTTTTGAAAAAAAAAAAGAAATAAGGATGTATCATTTTATTTTAAATTAAGGAATATATCTCCCTCAGGCAAAACTCTAATTCCTTGTCTGGATTTTGGCTATTCTTGTCTTAGATAGCGGGTATTCAAATATTTTGGCCTCGAGCATCACTGAATTTACATAAATTGTCAAAATACGTATCTGTTGCATTACAATTGATACCGTTTATGTTATAATCATTTCAATGTGCATCTGCCTTTCATTGTAGATCGACTGGTTGTTTTACTTTGGCTTTGGTCGACGTCATTTTCAGAATCATCCATACGGATTAATGGAATAAAGATCAGGATTTACTTATTCTTATGGTCGAGAATTTCTCTATTGGATAGTAGGAAACGTTGCAAATTTGATCGTTTCCGAATGATTTAATGATCATAAAACTTGTAAATTATGTCCAAAGCGCTTTTCTGTATTAATCTTCACCAGGAACGATCAAGTCTAAACTTTCAAAAGCCAAGGATGTATAAATAATTGTCGGGCTCTGTTACCAATTTTACATTAAAATAATAGCAAAAAACTATATAAATTCAATTTTGCCTGAGGGAGTTAGAGCCTTAGTTTCTTATAATTTCTAATTTTTTCAGCGCGAAATTTTAGAAAAAAATGTTATTAAGTATGTCAGTTGCAAAGCACTGACTACTTGGCTAATGATATCATTGGGACTAAAGGTTCACAAGCATCGATATGGACCAAGTGAAAGAAAACTAAAATATCATTTTATGAATGTAATGCGTCCGAAGCGTTTTATGGACATACGCGGGCCTGTTGTACTACAATATGAGCCTGGTATCTCTCGTGAGTTTTTACTTTAATTTGAAACGCTAAAATCCAGCAATTTGAAAGACCGGAATGATAACTTCCTTACAAAAATATACTTAAAAAAAGCAAATGCACTAAAGGTCAACTTAGCTTAAGGGACTTGGAACCTTAGTTTCTTACATTTTTTTTAATTTATTAACGAAAAATTTAATGTATGTTATAAATAATTTCAAAGCACGATGGCTTTCATGGACATGAAATCATTGATAACCATAGTTACAGATTAGTTTACCAATCAGCATGTTTGTCAATAGAGTTCAGAACTTTCCAAAATTATTGGTATCAGACCGATGAATAGTGTTCTGTTAAAATTTTATTTAAGTTTAGAATTCTAATGAAATTACTTATATTTATATATTTCAAGTCAAATTTATGTTTTTCGCGGCACCTCTCCGATCAAAATTGCATACCTTTCGATAAAAAATCATCAAATTATTAAAGTATACATCTGACATAAATAACTGCCGATCATTCGTTAAAATGAAATTCTATAATATATTTAATATCAAAATGATTAACAGATTACGTAGGCGGGTATTGCTCATTCGGTTTCATATTTTGAACGATTACTGTTGACCATTAAAAAACATTTCATTTCCAAAATGAGTTCCTCCTTGAAACAGAACTCTACAAACTCCCAGTGTTTTTGGTAAACAGGTAAATGTTTTAGATATTATGGCTACAGGCAAGCATCTGTTGATCTGTCCGCACTTTCTTCTGAAATGTTCTACTTATATTATTAACATAGTTGCTGGCTGCATAAGAATAGTACATTGGTTCAAATCATATTTATTGTTTGTGGGATTTAAAATAGGTAAGATTGAAAATTTCTGTTGTTTCTAATAAATCATAGCGACTGCAGTAACAAGCAGTTTAATCCAAATCTTGCTAAGGTTAGCTATTGCTTCTGGTAAAATCTTTGTGTTTCGTTATCTTCATAGCATTAACAGTAAATTTACCAGGGTTAAATTTTGTACGCGAGACGCGCATTTCGACTAACAAAAAAACTCATCAGTGACGCTCGAATAAAAAAAAGTTGAAAAGGTCAAATAAAGTACGCAGAAAGGGTTATTTTCATGTTTTATTCGTAAATAAAAAATGACTTTCTATAATTGATAGTAAGATTCTTTCATATATATGACCAACTTATAGATAACGGATAATGAAGGATCATCTAGAAGTCAACATATTGCCGTCAAAATGAACAGCAGCCCACTCCCAATGGAGAATAAAGCAAAACAAAATAAATAGGGGTTGTTTAAATATAAAAAAAAATAATTATTAACATGTGTAGATAACAAATTATCGACAGAAGTACCGGTAATAAAATTGTTTTTTCTGACTTCAAAATTTAACTATTCATTTGTACCAATTTGTTAAACCAGTAACCATCGTACTATATGATATATCTTTACCTACATTTGTAATAACTGATCAAAACACCATTTTTTTCTGCAGTTTAATACACCGTTTATGAAAAAGATTCCTGAAGGAGCAGAAGTTGCTAATGTCTGGGTTGGTGAATTGGATGATTTGAAAAAACCAGTCACAGCATTCATTCGATTGATTGAACCCAGATTTATTGGTGACTTATCACAAGTGGCTTTACCTACCAGGTTCATTTTCCTTCATCTTACTCCGAAATCTGAACCAAACTATGCATTTGAAATAGGAAGAGCAATTTCCAATATGATGGTCGACGAGGTGAGATATGCAGGACAATTTTTTTTCTCAAAGCTTGCTATGTATTGTTTTTTTTTTTCTTTCGCTTGTTTGGTTTTTTTTTTGACACGGTTTTCTTTCGACTTATAGGCTTAGAATATTACCTTGGTATCCTCCGCCTTTTTTCCTAAAAGCAGTTAGTGAAAAATGTATTATTAATTCATTTATAGACATTTTTTTGTTTAATTAAAGTTTCAAGACGAAATATAACAAACAGTACTTAACGTCTTTTCAAATTTGATAGCTTTTAATTATATACTGCCTAAATGAGAATCTTAACATTTACAGATATTCAGTGAAGTTGCATACAAAGCAAAATCACGGGATGACATTATGCATGGATTCGACGAATTTTTAGACCAGCTAACAGTACTTCCACCAGGCCAATGGGACCCTGATGTACGCTTAGACCCACCAACCACAGCACCTTCTCAGGTTGTTGAAGCTTATTCTTACTTCTATAGAGTCAACAAAATTAAACAAAATTACGTACCAAAGGAAATTATTTATTCATACAATTTTTTTTTATATTTTTGTTGTATTGTATCCACAGAAAGGTTTTGATTTGGAATTTTTATTAAAGCATTTATTTCATTCATTTGATAATTTGTATGACAAACATTAATGCTTGATTTACATGTTAGTAAAAATATAGGATTTTATACGTAAACAAATCAGTCACCAATGATGACAACCCACATATAAAAAACCTATTTAAAAGTCGATATAAACTCTGCAACAATAAGTATGTATACCACATAACAAGCATCGAATCACCGGAATTGTAGACAAGATGTGAATGAATTTAGCAGAGGCTACCAATGATATGCCTTCAACATCAAATTCTTTAAAGAACTCAACATCAGAGATATAAATGATGACAACTGCTTTACATAATAAAATGCACACAAACATTTCTAAAAGGAAATGAAGTATACACATCATTGAGACAGGAAAAAACCACAAAAACAGACGTCAACATCCATAGACAGATGGTTAGCCTTTTTATTGATCACTGAAGATATATATGATTTATTAGTAAAGGGAGTGTTTACAGTTTGTAGTTATTGATACATCTAGTTATTGGAGCCAAAGAGGCAATTCATATGATTGTTTTCTCGTTTCATTCATACTTTAAGATTTTTTTTAATCGAATAAAACTTGATCGAAGTTGCATTAAGCAATCATGTTAAATGAAAAATTGAAAATGCCAAAAATCTGCAATAGTATTGTACGGTTCAAATTGTTCTTGATATATCAACCTTATTTCTACAGGAAAGACGAAATTTTTTCTCGACCAAATCCAAGTCTGAAGAAAAGGATCATGAACAAAATGACGATACACTTGTTCGGACCGGAAGGTATGTAGATATATTCATATGTATCGTTTTTAAGCTTACAGTGGCTGATTTATGTGGTAAATATAATCTATTTGTTATGGTAAAAGCAAGCGTAATTATTGACCAAACTAAGAAAACATTATCAATTAGTATGTCCTGGAGAATGGCAATGCCCGGATAACGCAACGAGAATTTGAACTGCTCTGTAAATTTGGACTATTCCGCTCACAAATTGTGATTAAAAAGATTTTCAAGTGGTTCGTTTAATAGTAGAGGATTTCAGAGAATTTCATCTATATCATTTCAAACATAGTTTATTAGGAACGTACATTGTACCTAGAACAGTTCTAGTGTTATTAAGTGAAACCGTTCTTAAACTGATAATGACAGTTCTTTGAAATGTTTATTCTGACAGTTCTAAAGTTAGACTAGAACTGATTCCAACTGCAGTTGCTACTTTAGAAATTTCATTGCAATATTTACCACATTCTCTCTTCGTTCTGAAAGTTTTGCTTATGAGGCATTTAGTATTATGCCTTTATTCACCGACACTTTCAGACGAAACTTGGTTGTAACAGTCTTCATGTAATTCCCTTTTCAATTTTCATTTGGCAAACCAATCGAGTAAACAGTGTGTTCGCTTTACAATTTAAAGAACAACAGATGTAAAATTAACAGAAAAATAAATAACAATCATCGAAAATCCGGAATTTGGCAGCAATACCTACAAATTGATGTTTCATGATTTCAATCCTGTTAAACTTGGCATTTACCAACAAAATCATTTTTCACAACACATTCATTGAAATTCGGAACGATCATGTAATAACTAAAAAGTTTTAATCACCCTCACCAATTACCGTTGACGACTCTAATCGCCCTCTGTTTGTACTATCATATCGGTTAAGTCCTCTGATTTTTGTTGTGATCGATCGTTGCTTTCTTGTTTTTCATTAATACATTTGTCAATTCATAATTTATATGTAATACGGTTTTTTTTGGCATACAATCCGTTGAATAAAGGTAATGTGTCCTAAAAATCTAATTTTAACAGTCGTATTATTTTTTTGACGAGCATAAAAAATAAATTTTCTTTTTTGTAGATTGTTTGGAGGTCTTATAAAAGATGTTAAACGAAAAATTCCTTTTTACATCAGCGACTTTAAGGATGGTTTACACATACAGTGTATTGGTTCTATACTTTTCATGTATCTAGCTACACTGGCACCTAACATTACATTTGGAGCTTTTCTGGGTCAGGAAACAGACCAGCACATGGTAAGTTTTCAGTAAAGCAAAATATTCATCCCAAAAAAATCTTGTGGATCACAATACTTTTTACAGCGACATTCGTTGAAGGAGTGAGATTCTAGATGCGAAATACGATTTTGAAATAACTTGGGTGGTACATGTATAATCATTAATTCAATTTCTTCGTTGTTGCATTTGTTGTAGTAAATAAAGATATAAATTCATTGCAATTTTTTTACACTAATGGTTTGATAACAGTCAAATTAACCTGAATTTTATAATGGATTGACAGTATGATAAAAGGAATATGCATCAAATGTTTAACATTTTTTAATTTCTTTTATTTCCCTTTTACAATTTTCTGAATGATATTTTCGTTGACAAAGGCATTGCAGAATTTTTTTTCACAAAAGGATTCGAATTATTCTTTTATTTTAATGCAACTTCAGTTTCCGTCATTGTTTAAAAATTAACATTTAAAAATGATATAATATACAAAATTAATGTTATGTTATTTTTGGCTCAACATTTATGATATCAAAATATCTAAATATATCATTCTTTAGCATTGATTTCCAAATAATTCATTTTCAACTTCAAACGTTCATTGTCTATATTTTGATGTATTAAGATATCGTGCAATCAATAGAATTCGATCTCATAAAGTATGTAAAAGTACAAAAGCGATAGTTTAAGACGAAGATGAATACTAACAAACAAAGTATTACACAGACATTTACAGGAAATTAGGGATATACATCATTGAGACAGGAAAGAAAGAAAAAAAGAAGATAAATGTGAATAATAAAGAACTGACAGCACTTAAAGGTAAATCATATTCAATACGATCTTTGAAATAAATAACGGATGACACAATAAATGTAATCCAGTACGGTTAACTTGTTCTGCCCGGCATGCGTAATATCTATAGTCATCAGTAGTCATGTCTATAATTTTGAAGTACACTGCAGCAGATACAATAAAAAGTTTATACACAAAAAATTCCCTTTTGTGTTTTATTTACAGGGAACAATGGAATGTCTTTTAGCCGTTGCATTTGTTAATCTGGCGTTTGCATTGTTTGGTGGACAGCCACTTATCATAATGGGTAGTACTGGTCCTGTTTTAGTACTTGAGATAATAATCTATAACATGTGTAGGTATGTATAATAACAGTTCGACAGCCAGTAAGTACTCGAAACTAGCAAACATATTTTACAAAAAAATCAAGATCTAAATGAGTAGTTATCAACGTTGAATCAGTAAGAGAATAGACAGACACGACGACCACCAAATAAAGAATCAAAAACAAATATTAACTCAAACAATATTTATATTTTTTAGTAACACAAGCTCTAGACTGGTTCTCTGTCCTTTATCTATTTGGATCTGACTTGACAACAAGGGTGTCTCAGATATGTTGCAAGGGAGGGAACCAGCCTACACAAGCTCCACTTAACACATATTGCAGTCTAATCCACGTGTTTTGAAGAACAAAAGATTTCAATTTTTGAAAAGCAAAACAATTTATAAATAAAACCTTTCTTGTTATGGAAATTGTACATAATTGGACTAATTGACAAAACAAACATTTCTTCAGCTTTCGATTCTAATCGTTTATGATAAGAAATAATGTTTATTCTTATTTTATTTTTAGGGACAACACATGGGATTTTATGTCATTTAGATGTATGATAGGTCTGTGGTTAGCCCTATTTTTTTACTGATCATTATTGCGTTTGACTTGAGTGCATTAGTTCGTTATATAACGAGATTTACCGAAGAAAGTTTTGCTTGCTTAATAGCTATTATTTTCATAGTCGAATCAATTAAAAAGATAGTATCAATAGCTGACACACATATATATAATACACATCCAGACATACCATTAGACTATTCATGCACCTGTGTTCCTAATAATCAGACTGAGAATATCACTACTATGCTAACTTCTTATTTGAATTTAAATTCAACGATGAATTCAACTATCAACTGGAATAGTATAAAGAAGGAGGATTGTGTTGATCTAGGAGGCGTCTTGGAAGGTTCCGGTTGTGAAACACCAATTTATCATGACAATGTGTTTTTCTTATCTATCATACTTGGTATTGGAACTTTTGCAATTGCGTGGTGGTTGGTTATGATGAAGAAAAGTCGATTCTTCCCGACAATAGTAAGTTTAAAGTCATTGCTTTTCTAACTGAATCACTTTTCTTCATAAGTGTATTCCTAAAAAATGACCTATATACAGATTAAATTGGAACTTCAGAAAATGTTAAGTAAGATAATTGTTTTTTTTAACTTAAAAACTCAATTCTTATCTTTATTTCTGAGAAATCACAATGATGTACGATGAATTCAATCATGGTATATTGAGATAGAAAATTCTACAAAATATATTATTATACAGCATGAACCAATTTGTTAAAATCTATAAGTAGGGTTTGGTCATTCGTTAACAATTTGAAACTACAAATCCTTTTAGCCTTACTGATTCAAGTATTTTATATGAGCTATTTCATCAGTTACAGCTTGCAGTCGTCCGACGTAATTTGTTTTGTGTTTATTTTTTTTATTCAAATTTTCTGACGATGTTAAGAACAGAGTGTGTTGTTAACCTTCTCTTTCCGCTATACAAAATCCTGTTCACAGTGTATGCACTTAATAGCCATTGCAATTTTGTTTATAGGTTCGACAGACCATAGGAGACTTTGCAGTCTTCATCGCCATTTGTTTAATGGTATTATTTGATGCAAGATTAGGAGTACCAACTCCGAAGCTAATAGTTCCAGATAAAATTCAGGTTTGGTTAAGACGTTATCCATTACATTAAGACTATAATGTACGCATCGCAGAAGATGCATACCCTGTCTAAGTACCTGGTCTTGCTACATTGGAGTTCAAGCGATTCCCTTCGTTACTGTGTGTTACCTTGATTTGTCTTTATACTCGATTAAGTATTTGGACATTGGTAAACTATTGATGCTTATATCTATATTTAAAAAATCAACGTTAAATGTTCTACTTTTTGGTTGATGCCAATTCTTTTATTTCCTTTTTTATCAGTAAATTGCACTTCTTTCCAAGATTTTCACAGATTGATATAGTTAGTTTGATTGTTAAATGTATTGTAGCCTTCAGACCCTACAAGGCCATGGTTTATCAGTCCGTTCAGCTCTGGTAATCCCTGGTGGACAATGATACTTGCATCTCTACCAGCGGTTGTAGCTGTAATTCTGATTTTTATGGATCAACAAATTACAGCTGTTATCATAAACAGAAAGGAAAATCAGTTAAAGGTTAAATTTCTTAGTTTATTAAAATTATACGGATATAAATGTGGACTTTTTAAATGCATTTTACTCATCGTAAATTTGTTATTTTTTATTCACTTTTAACACTATTAGTGAAAATGTTTTGTGAAGAAACTCATGATGGATAACAGGATTAAAAAAAGACTCATCAGTGAATCTTGAATCCAAAATGTTAGAAAGGCCAAATAAAGTACTAATTTGAAGATCATTGAGGACCTAACATTCCGAAAAGTTTTGCAAAATACAGCTAAAGTTATATATTCCTGTGGTAGAAAATCCTTAGTATTTTGAAAAAAAAGTTTTATTAACAGTAAATTTAAGATTATGACCATATCAATGATAACTTATGACACAAAAGTGCTGACTACTGAGCTGGTGATACGAAATTGTATAGTGATTTCTTAAAACAAAAACGTTAACGATCGATTTCTGTCCGCATAACTCGTGTTTATGAAATAACATCAGAGGCAATCGATCCAAAAATACAAAACATTCGAAAGTAGAAAAACGAACGGGTTTAAAACAGAAATACTAAAAGAGGGCGTTCGACCGTCTTTTATTTGTTATGTTAAGTTCGACTGTGGTTTAAACGCTTTGTTCGAGTTTTTTTTAATTACTTTAAATGATTAGCTATGATTTAGTTTATATAAATTGTATACAAATTTTGAATTTCAAATATTTTGGCCTAGAACATCACTGAAGAGACAAGAGACATACATTGTCGAAAAGCGCATCTGGTGCAGTAAAATTGGTACCGTTTATGTTATTATAGAAAAACCCAACGAACAGACTTAGCAGGGATCGAACTATTTCTTTGTCTTAAAAAAATGGGTCTCTTAAAAGTAATTGATTAAATTGATACCGTCATATACAAACTATATTGTGTTTCACATGTAAAAAATAAATGGATATTTGAGGTAAAATTTAGCGTAGTAGCAAACAAACAAGATGTTTTTTTAGATATATGTCTTTCTGAATGGTTATGCGCATATGGTTTATGGCGTTTGCTATCAATTTAGTTCTATGTTTTCCCATTTTTCAAATAACTTTAGGGTAATCTGAACAACCCTTATACTACAGTCTAACAGACTAACATATATTTTTCCGTCTGGCTTGGGTTCTTTAATTTACCAAAAATCAATTAAAAAAATATAAACGGTAAGAATGGACCTTTCTTCTCTTTTACAGAAAGGTTGTGGCTACCATTTAGATTTGACAGTAGCAACGATCTGTATTGTGGTGTGTTCTTTTTTCGGTCTTCCTTGGTATGTTGCTGCCACAGTTCGATCAATGTCACATGTTAACAGTCTCAAAATGGAATCTAAATGTACTGCCCCCGGTGAGAAACCAGTCTTCCTTGGATGCAGGTGTGTACAAATAAATGAAATAAAATGAATCAAGAATTAGGGTCAAACATAATAAATATCATCTTCTTAATATTCATGACATATCCAGAAAAAAATATCAATAGATATCTATTCCTAAAAACACAAGAAACATGTTGTAAGTGTTCTTTTTTCGCGCGTATTATTTTCATTAACTTGATATAACCGATGAATTCACTTTTATTTATTGTCGCATTATTTCTGATAACAATATTAACATAATGGTCTTTATCGTGTAAATGAGCTTCATTTTAAAACGGGTGTAACCTTTAGGGCTTATTGTTATTGTTTTTGTTTTCAACTTCGTTTGTTATTCATTTTGGATTTGACAGTCAAAATATTACAACGCCAGTTAGAAATATTTCATTAAGCATTTAAAGTTTCTCAAAGTCTTAGGTGCTTTATAATATAAAACAAGGTTCCTATTGCAAAATGATAATATTTATTCAATCCTTAGAAAGTGGTCCGTAAGATAAAGGTATTGTTCCATTAGGTTGTTTTTACACAAAAAATGCGTATCTAATTCGATTGGCCTGGATTATTTTTTTGACGTGTAATCCTTTGTAGTACTAATTTCTACTTGTGTTTAAACGTTTTCGGGTTTCAATTGAATATATCTAGGGTAAACGTAACTGTAGAGTTAAAAATACGGGCAATATTAATTCAAGGCTTTTATACGCACGTATACACTTCAGTTGTATTCGGGTGTATTTGTTTTCCGCAAAAAGATACATACCGCGAATTACATGAAAATACATACACCTCGAAAAAGTGTACATTGGTTCATTTATATGTTTCGGAATTTAGTGTGACGTCCATTTTCGCTGAACTAGTATAAATTAGTTTTCGGTGGCCAGCTAAAGCCGGCCTCAAGGTGCTAGATTTTCTCGCTGTGTTGAAGACCCATTGGTGGCATTGGGCTGTTTTCTGCTCTTTGATCGGGTTATTGTCTCTTTGACAAATCCCCCGTTTCCATTCCCAATTTAACTAATACATTAATTTAGAATAAGTAATGTGTTACCTTTCTTGTAACAATGTTTGATAGTGCGTAAAGCATACAGCGTTAACAAAAACAGTATCCAATATTTTGTCAAAAAAATATACATTCTTTTAGGGAACAGCGTCTTACTCCTCTGATTATTGCAATCTTGAACGGATGCTCTGTATTTATGACTAAAATGTTACAGGTATGTGATACAGTTATACTTAATTTGTTTACATAAAATTAAAGCAAAAATTTAGTACACATTGTATTTATAAAGAAGATATTTTCGTAAACGTCAATTAGCCAGGAACCCAATAATACATTGATACTATACATGACATTGACCACGTACAGTCTTCAACAAGGGATATGTTTCTTTTCTTTACGTTAGGCTCTTGATCGCTTGTCATCTAGACCATACTGATTTGTACAATATAGTGCATTTTATTCATTGATTATTAAAAAAAGTTTCAAAGAATGAATATGTGAACTTTAAATTAGATATAATTTTGTTTTGTGATGTTGTCACATCTTCAATTTGCTTTACTGATTTCCCTTACATCTTCATTTTTTAGATGTTTTAAACTGTAAAAATAATTCAATTCGTTTATATTTTAAAATAAAACTAATACATTCGTATTCGAAAAGGATAACAACAACTACAAAAAAGAAAAAAAAAGCAAAAACAAAAAAAAACATAACAAAACAAAACAAAACAAAACAAATATACACTAAGGGTTGAAATTCCTTAAGTCAATACCATAACCTATTTAATTGTTGTAAACGGAAAAATTATTAATTGCACACAAAAAAATGAAATCCTGCATTTCTCTCTTTTTTTAATGAGTATAAAAATTAATGAAAAAGTAAATACCAAATGATAGCATAAGACATAATTTCTTTGTAATCACTGTTTGATAAAGGCAGGAATTGTGTTGAGTGTCTTATGCACTTCCTGTTTCAGCTTGTGCCCATGCCTGTTTTATATGGTGTATTTTTGTACATGGGAGTATCAGCTTTCCGAGGAATGCAGGTATGCACTTTAATAAAAACTATATTGCATATTGAAAAAAACATATAATCTATTTTACAACATATCACAACATACACACAGTAATAACACGCTATATTCTTTAACTGAAAATGGTAGAATAAGTTTCAGAGAGAGAAAACAAAATCGAACAAATCATCAACCTCATAGAGCACATTCACAGAAATTATTCAATTCGGGGTTATAGGGAACATAGATATTTTCATTACTTCATCAATTTTATATTGCCGTCACGAGATGGTCAATCGGAAAATATATCAGTCTGAGTTGGTTGTTTTATTCGTAAAACCTTACGTGGTTCCTTCAATTTACATTGTACCTTAAATATTTTTTTGTGAAACATCATGACAAAAGTGGTTCAGTTTCAGTTTTTTTTTTTTACATCAGTCCGGTGCTTTAATCGACGTTCCAAGTGCTAAGATTAAGGTTTTACCTTCAAAGTTTTACGAACGCCATTTAGATTTGGTTGATCGTTATGGCATACCGTATAGCGGATTATTTTCGTGGGTGTAAAATTTCGCGATTTTATTAAATAAGGTATACCAAATAATTTGGCGGTTATTATTTTGGCGGATTCAAAACTTTTATCAATATCATTGCATGTGCAATTTTAAATTGGCGGAATTTATTTTGGCGATTTTGTTCTATCCGCGAAAATAAGCGAAAATATACAACCCGCGAAAAAAACCCCGCTATACGGTATCTGAGTCACAGATTACCAACATTCTGTTCCTATTGTCCTAATCACAATCCCGTCTTCTTATCCCCGATGGTCACCGAATGAAACTAATCACTACTACGGTTACCACTATTTGAGCATGTTAAGCAGGATCTGCTTACCCTTCTTAACACCTTAGATCTTATATCGATTTAAGAGCTTTGTATGTTCCGCCATTGTTTTTTATAGTTGTCTTGTAGTTGGTACTTACCCCTCTAAAACTTACAGGGTTGCACTAAAATATATGAAAAAATCTATTCAACAGTTTAAAGACCGTTTCTTGATAATGTTTATGCCAGCCAAATACCAACCAGACAGAATGTATCTTCGCCATGTGAGGATCAATCGAATTCACCTGTTCACATTTTTCCAAATTTTATGTTTGGGAATACTATGGGCCATTAAAGCTATAAAAACGATTTCTATCGTTTTCCCTGTTATGGTACTTGGTACATGTTTTGTAAGAAAGGGAATGGAAAGAATCTTTACAATGAATGAATTAAAATGGCTCGACGACCAGAATTTAGAGGACAAGATGATGAAACAGGAAGATGCTGGTGAATTGATTGTTGAAGATGATGATAAAGATGACGTAAGATATTTTGCAATTATTAGTCGCATCGGCTTATGATTTTGTTGGCATAAGTCTTTTCAGATAATTAGTCAATGAAATTGACACAACAATCATTTTTATTATATTTTTTCCGATTTTAGGTTTGGGTTGCTTACCCAAATTTGTCAAGATAACGGAACTATAAACAACTGTCGTACAAGAGGGAGGTTTAGCTAGCTAGAAAACCAGGTTTAATCCACCATTTTCTTCAGAAAATGCCTGTACCAAGTCAGGAAAATGGCAGTTGTTTTTCATTTGTTCTATTGATTGATAGCGTTTAATATTTTCCATTTTTATGGACTCCTTTTTGAATTTTTCTTGGAGTTCAGTATATTTGTTTTACTTTTTTAAATGTATAAAAATGCCAGAAAACAGTGTTAACAGTTATAAAAAAATATGTCATTCTGTAAGTCTGAAATTTTCGCGAGGGGTTTATATTCGATTATTTCGGGATTGATATAAAATCGCGAAAACATTTACTCGCGTAAAAATTGTTTTTAAGAAAGAAAGATAAGAATCATGTACAAGTAAAACGTGATAATAAAATGTGCGAAAAGGTTTTGCACTAGAAATCGCAAAATTTAAACTTTGCCAAAAATAACCACTTAACAGTATTACCCTAATATTCAATAACTGAATACGAAGATATGTTCAGTAAATTTTAGAGCTCTTGGGTACTCATTGACAGACAGATCTAAGATACACTTAAGGAATGGTAACCCCAAACAGAAATATCAAATATGAAAGGAATGTGTTGCCTTAGTAAATTTTTGTTTGTGTTATTATAACAAAAGAGTTGTATCGTTATCGTAGTGATCGCCAATCTGTTCGTCTGTCAAATTCTGTAATCCTTAACTGCATTAAATGGAAACATAAACGTACATAGTAAAATAGTCTAAACTTTTTCGAACTTAATTTATGAAAACTAGTTTTTCTCTAGGTTTATCCGAATAAAAAAAATCATATTTTTCAAATTTTGCTTTCTTTTTCAGTTTTCTTACAAAAAATACTTATTCTTCACAATTTTTAAATCTGTTTGCTATATATTTTCCCTTTTAATAAAATATATCTCACTAACTTTTGTTTATTTATATGACCTTGAAATCGCATATATAATATACAAGTTTAATGTCAGAAATATCAACTTGTATCAGGTTTAGAAATTTGGGAATGGTACGGTTTACTGAGCCCGTCAACAAGTTCTATTCAAATACAAAACAAAACGATAATAAGACATTGATCTAATATATTGTTTTTAAAATACAGCTTTAAAGGGCTACAATAATTTCCATATACGTGTTAATCATAATTATAAATTATTTACTTCCTTAAATTAGCCCCTGATTGTGAAGAAAATTGAAATGAAAATAGCATTAAGTTACTACAATATTTAGGAATAAAGACAACACTATTTGTTTATGGTACGGCTTCAGCACAATAATTCCGTCAACACCCTTGCTCACACTGCGCTATGGGTTCAGGCTTATCCGACTGGTTTCACTCTCATGTGTTTCTTTTTGTATTTTGACTGATGATATTTGAATGACTTTGATAATCTATCTTGAAATGAACATAACAGTTAAAAATTAGATGCGTCTGAATCGTTTTCTGGAGTGAATTTTAAGTTTTATGCACCTCATCATGATCGTTTGACCGATTTGGAATATCTAAGTCACATATTACAATGAATATGTTCCAACTGTCGTTGCAACAGTCCTGTACTCTTTTCCTAAATTGTGGCATCGCCGAATGAGACTTTTCACTGAATTTGTACTTCCAATAAGCAACATGAATGTTCCTACATGTGGAGCATGGACTGCTTACCTTGGTTAATAAGTTTGGTTCGTGTTGATCAGGCTTTAGTTTTTTATGCTGTGTTTTGAAGAGTATTGTTTGTCTTTTCATCATTTTTCTTCCTTTGTAATTGTATTGTCGGTTTTTCTATGAATTTTGATTATCCCTTTGATGTTTTCTGTCTAATATTGAACTTCATAAGGAACGCTCATAAACAAAACTTTGAAAACAGAAGGTGTATAACCACTTCAATACATTTGGAGCTATATTACCAAATGCATATCCAGATCCATTAAAGGTCAAACATCCACCAGCGATAAAACAAGGATAGATAGTTTAAAGCACCGTTGATCAAAGTTTCTTTAATAGTTTATATAATGCTTTTCTAAATCGTACTTAAACGAAATATATAACAGGTACGTGACAAAAAATATACTATATTCTTTTGAAGATATCTTTGCTATATCTATCTATCTGTTTTAAATATAAGAATGAAAATTTGGTGGATATTAAATTCAAATATCTAGTAACTATCAATGATGTTGAATCTAAATAAATGAATTCATCTATAATACAGGATGTTGTTGATGAAGGTCCAATAGAATTTTTAAAGCAGAGCAAATGCAGAAAAATTAACTCAACCGTAAGTAGAACTAAAATAAACATCAGGAATATTTGAATATTATTAAGAGCCATTTTGCACTAGAAAAGGTGGATACATATTTATATTATAGATATCGTATCTAATTTTTCCATATTATTATTGATATTAATATCAGTAACACTCTCTTGGAGTATGATCATGTCATAAGATCTATTATCATTATCTACTAAAACACCTAAGTTAATAGTGTCTTTTGAATTGTTTTAACTATACGGTACCACATCTTCTTAATTTTATATACGAAAGATAAAGATTATTCTTCAGAAGAACATAGAACTTGTTTATTGGGATTCACATTTATGTTCGTCTCTCTCTCTCTCTCTTTTTATATTTACTTTTTAAGCTAGACACAATTTCATTGCAGGGTAATATTTCATGGTATCTTAAACATGACACAAAATCAACTGGTCTATCTAAGGAGGATATTTTAAAAGATTGTCCAGTAGAATTTTTAAGGAACTATAGAAGGCAATCAACTGTAAGTTATGACGTTGTTTATTCTATAGTAAGGATATACAACTTTGGAATTTGTGAAAGAGGTGCGAAAGATACTTGTACCAAAAGGACTTTCAAGCTCATTAGTCGAAAAAAAAGTCGACAAGGTCTTTGCAAACACGAAAAACGATCAAAAGACAAACAACATTAACAAAACACATCATAGAAAACCACAGACTGAGCAACACGAAATCCACCAAATACAAAAAATTCTGAGCCTAGCCATCAAATGCACAGGTATTCCTCATTTGATTTGAGACTTTTGTATATTATTACTCTTCTCTTTTTGGTATTTCAATTTCCATACTTTTAAACATTTTTTTCTAACACCACTGGAGAAATGTTTATTTTATATGTACAGACATATAATAATAACTATGGTAACTTGTTTTATTAATGGATCAATGATAGTCACGAAATGTGTGCAATATGATTGCTTATATGTATGAATGACGATAGTTCAAAATATCACTGTAATATTTTGTATAAAATGGAAAGAAGTATATTAGATTCAAATGACCGTACCAAATTTGATGGCATTAACTGTTCAGTTTATACAGTAAATGATTAATTCAATTATTGTCAAAATATAAAGGTTTACATTCATTTACAAATTGTAAATGTATTCTCCTGCAGGGAAATTTGTACTGGCATCTCAACGATAATACAACAACACACAGAATAAATAGAAAAATAGATTTCAAAATAGACGAGGACAGTATAATATAATACAAGAGTGATAAGGATGCTTGTTTTTGGTATGTACGATTCTTATTTGTTGAAACCATTGACACGTGACACACACCTCCTGCTCTCATATAGCTGCGTCATTAGTACTTTTTGTAATAAACTTAAACAAGTTCTCAACTAAGTCAAATATGAGCTGTAGGAATGAGAATAACAATGTGAGATACATCAACGAAAAAACAGGGCATCCGTGAAAATCAAAATTGAGGATATCAGCGTCTGGTTGTTAGAGTTGATTATTGAATTATGGTATGGATAATGGAAGATACGAAAAGATTCAGTATAAGATGGCGAAATTAAATTTATTGATATCTGAATAAATGGCATTTAATCACAAAGTTTTTAAGGAACATTAAGACTTTTTTTTAAAGACAGTAAAACATACATAAGTTTTTTTTTGGTAAAATGTCTTGTTTGGTAATAGTTTTCATGAAATATTCAAACTTAAATTTTAGAATATCACCTTCGTAAGAAAATACATTATCAATTGTAATAAAATTTCTAATTAGAAAGCACAAATTTACTAAAGAAAATTGAATAAGTAAGTACTTCAATTATGTGGAAACGAATTCTTCACAGTGTTATAAAAACAGTCACTTGCATAGTTTGCAGGGGATATAATGATATGCCTCTCATTTTAATAAAAAAAATATTAACATGACTAATAAGGATAAAAGTAATACTTGAAATAAAGGATGTCATTAATTATGTTGCCTTTCTATGATATGGCTTTTCATTTATTTCAGATGTGACGGTTGTAGACGCCTAAATCATGTACCAGGAGATTGCGTATAATTCTTCATTGTAATTTCCATTGTGTTGCTGTCAAAGGAATTTTTTTTTTTAAATCGCATTAAATAAAGAATATTTTATAACCATGTAAATACAATGTATCATGCAATATGTTTTAACATATATTTAGATGGAAAGGATACGTATGGGGTGTCAAAAGACCATATGCTTAGATCTTTTCATTAAACGATGATTACACATAAATTCAAAATCATAAAATTTGCAGAAATTCTAATTCAATATGCCTTCAAGAACTTTACGTTAAACAGTTAATCGTTATTACAATTTCTGGTCTTTTTTTAATATTCAAGTATGTCTCCATTTAAAAAAGGAAAACCGAAATTCAACATTGATTTTAAAAACATATTCTTGTTCTTGAATTTCATTGAAACAAAATTGTTTGTTTATAATAAAGTCGGAAATGAAATGGTTGTCCAAAAAAAATTAATGCATGCACTATCCCCTTCACTCCCCCTCCCCTTCCAAGGACAAATACTTGGTGTTCGATGAATACCGTTCTTCTGATTTCGATTACTTCTAAAGTATTAAAGAAATAGAAAAACACAGGTTACGGCATCTTTACAATAGGTAAATTAAGGATTCAAAGGTTCAGGTTACTTTAGCAAAACATGACTACTGTATTGTTAGCTTGTATGTCTTCCCATATTGTTTTTTCCTGCACATACCATTAAATTCCACAAGATCCTGCTATTATGAATTAATAAATGCCACTGTTTTTGGGTTCGTCCACTCATTTCTGGAAGACTTCGGCAAGTGAAGGATTTGTGTGATTATTGCTTTTGTCTAAATGGGATTTAATAAGGCTACTATTACATTTTTGTGATTATTCCTATTAACATTCACGTTCTAAATATCTAGTTTTGTGTAAATTAACCCACACAAGTCCTGCATTAAATATCAACTGCATTTAAGCATAGTGTTGTAAGGGAATATTGTAGGTTAACAACTAATAAATTGGATTCATTCTGATTACGTTTCATGATTCTTATTACAGTTAAACTGATCGTCATTTTCTTTGGATTAAAAAACGCAATATCTTAAAAACTAAATAAAGTACGGTTTAATATATTATATCAAATGTTTCAAATTTTTCTTCCATTTAGTTAAATAACTGTCATTAAATATTTGCTTGTATTGAAATTGTAGAAGACAGGCGTAAGATACCAAAGTGATATTCAAACTCATCAGCCAAAAAAAGGACTTGACAATACCATGGTGGGAAAAAAAAGAACAAAATTCCGATTGTGAGCCGTCGTGTTACTCCTATAGATTACGCTAAGTTATATCAATTGATTAGGCGGCTTAAACTACTGGATGGTAATTGACTCTTATCTAACCCTAAGCCATCACCAAATTCCTTAGCCATCGGTCATGTTAATAATCTAACCATAAAACTCGACCGAATGTGAAAGGTTTTTACGAATTGGACAGGCATGAGTGTTACCAGTATAAACAACGCAGACATTGAAAAATCATTAGCATAAACAACAATACTAAAAAGTAAAGCAACAGCATTCTTGATTTAATGTGCGAAACTGATGATAACCGTAAAATGAACGGATACATCGATGGGTTGTAATTAGGTTGTGATTTTCACTTACCGGTAAATTAACGTGATATGAAAATATGTTCTTTTCAAGATTTTCAAAAAAAAATCTTAAATTGATAGATTTGATAAAATTTTACATACGAAGAAAAAAGAATATGTTTTTGTTTCCGATCATGATCCAATTTAGGGCATGCACTTTAAACCTGACATCAACAACAACTTTTCAATAGATTTTAATATGTAAATAACATGAAATTAAAACAAGTAAAGAGACATCATCGAATTCCATAAATATTTTTAAATATTCTTAATTTTAACTTATCTTTAATATTTTCTGTAATTTGATATACTCATGATCATTAGTATATTATTTCGGTTAAAAAGTTTTTCATCTGTATGTTAGTTCTGGTAATCTTCTTGTGTAGACAATTATAAACACATAGGAACACGTATTTTATATTTAAATTCTTTTCAAATATAATAATCCAAACTAGTAGCAGTCAAACTTAATAGTGTACTTGACTCGATCTTTACCTTTTTGATTCCAGCGTCACTGACGAATCTTTTTCAGATAAAACGCTCGTATGGTGTACTAAATTACAAGCTTGGTATTTACCAACAGTACCAATAAAAAAACCACAGCCACTAGAGAAAACAGAAACGAGGACAAATAATTAGGAATCCGTAGGGCTAATACAGTTTTTTTAAGACATGCAATGCCTTTTTTGAAAAAAAAAACTTTTTTTTGTTCGACCCAGGGATGTGTGTCTACAGTGTTCCATCATCCAGGGCAAAACGATGGACTATTTAATACAAAAAAAAATCTATGTTAAGTACACAAGTTACATTTTATTTCATTACAGCAAAATATTAACAATAAAACAGTTACATTTTAAATTATATAAAATAGAATAAAAAACAAACTACAATCTTAAAACATTTGAATTTTCTACTCTTTACACAAGTATTCCCCATTCCAAACTAAACGACAAATTGAATTATAAAAAGGTCCTACTTTGTTCATAAAAAGGAATGGCCAAACAGAAACATGTATTTTGTCTTAGGAAGGGATAAATCGTACTTTATAAAAAATCAATATGATTCAAACAAAACATTCTCTCAATCTGTCATTATCAAGATGCTTAATTTCCTGATTTCAAACATGTTTGTTACGTTTAGAGAACGTGTTTTTCAACAAACAATCGGCATTCCAATGGGAACCAACTGTCACCCCTTCTTGCCGACTTGTTCCTGTATTCTTATGAGACTGACTTCATACAGAGCTTCTTATGAAGAATAAACAAAAGCTAGCGTTATCCTTTCACTTCACTTTCCGTTATCTAGATGGTGCCCTCTCACCAAACAACTCAAAGTTTTGTGAATATGTTGAACGGAAATTTCACGGACGCGATCACGAGTTGGTTGACCGTTATGGAATATATGTTACACAGATGGCGATGAATATACCACAATCCTGTCCTCTTTTACTCAAATGTGATCTACCGAATGGTGCTACATGTGGAGCAACTGAGATCACCCCTGTTTTGGTAGGGTTCGTGTTACTCACGTTGTCAGTTTGGTTTCGACTTATGAGTTTGAATTTCCCTTTGGTATCAATTGCCACTCTTTTAGACACTTTACCTTTACTTATAATTGACATTTAAACAACCAGACAATTATCCGGATAAAGGATAGCCGTTTTTTCTTTCTTATTGGAATTCTTTATATAATGAAAACCCACCATTTTAGCACACGGGATCTGTATACTTTTAATTAAAAATTATACATGATCTTTTTCAAAGTTGATATCTATTTACACATAAATTATCGAGCAACTGAAATTAGATGAGTTACCGTAATTTTGAGCTCCTTATTATATTATCGGTGAAACCATATGTTCTCATCATTCCAAAACACGTGATATCACTCCTGGTTTAAGTGTTAGTTTACATTTTCAAAAGAGTTGTTTAAAGTTGTCTATTTGAAATCGTAATCCCTTGTTTAGCCAAAAGCCTGTAAAATGGCATTTAATTTATTTCTTTTGCCTATCATCTTTGGGGTTAAATTGTCTATTCCTCTGTCGAACGCAGTTCGTTCGATAACCTTTACCTGTGATATGCTACATATAGATGGACGTTTTTATTTATTAACATGTACAATTTTATAACGACATTCAACTCTTTTTATGAATGTTCGTTATGAGTATGCCACGTCTACAGTCGGAGAGCTCATCTAACAAGTCATTAATGTATAAAAGATACAAGTTAGATGATAAGCTGCTCCCTTAACGAACACCACGATAAACTGGAAAGAAACGTGAGATTTTTCCGTTATAAAGACTGTACTTTGAGCGTCCCAGTACATATTAGCTATAAGCAACCCTAACTTACCATTTACACCATATTCAAGCAGTGTGTACAACAATCCATTGTGCCAAACCGTATCAAATGCTTTTGTTGAATCGAGCAAAACAATTATTATACTTCTTAGTCTTTCAAGATGGTGATAAATGGATTCATGAATATTAAATGATGTATGTAAACACGATAAACACTGCTGATATGCTGTTTGCTGCGGGTTTGGAAAGCATTTGTTGTCTTTTTTCAAATCTAGTTTTGAATCGATAATTTTATCAAACACTTTTCCGATACACGGTGCTATAGACTTATTCTTCGATATGAGTTTGGATCTCATTTGCATTTATTTCCTACTTTAAATAAAGGAACAATCAAACTTGATTTCCAAGATTTGGGAGAATAAAAGTTGTAACAAACTAAGTTGAATAGCTTTGTCATATGATTTCTCAAACTGTTACCACCGTATTTCATTGTTCATATTCAATGTTATCCAATCCAGACGCTTTGTTATTTTTTCAGGCCCTTTAACACTTTCCCTACTTTGTTAACTGTAATATTTAGCTTAGCATTGTACATGTTGTATTAAAATGTTCCTTTGAAATGTTTCTGAGCGTCCTCAACTGTCTTGTTTATCTCTCGTTCCTTGTCACTAATCGGTTCTGATCCGGTATTTTGTTTGAAAATTGACTCGAAGAGTTCGGCCCATCCGTCTAAGATATCACTCTGCGTTGAACATTGTCTACCATTCAGTCACAATAAGCTTTGATAAGCAGCTCTTTTACTTTTTATTTTTGTTCAAAAATGACCAGAGACGTTTTTGATCTATATCAAATTCCCTTTCGAGTGAATCATATGTCTCTTGCATATGCTTTTGAAATGCATTTCGTAATTCCCGACGGAAATTTCTCTTGGTAGATTTGTACTCTTGAAATGTGATGTGTTCATCCCTTGGTCTATTTTCAGAAATCCATAGTTAACGTTTTAAAGTCATATGTTGATGCAACGAATTTACAAGATGGTCCCGTATGGTTTAAGATATTTTACAAATACTAATTGTGAGGTAAAGTTTCTGTATCTGTCGACGATACTTGACGATATCAGAACTTCCTCTATTCGGTATTTCCACGTCCCTAAGATGCTGCGGAGTTGTAAAAGAAAAGTCTTTCAAACTGTTTTTTCCATGATACTTTACATGGTTTTATTATTGCTATGAACAGTGCCTACACTTACTGTATTGTCTAATGTTAGCTTGGATATGTTTGTTGTAAAATGATCTTCTCAGTGTAGTTTCTATTGTTTTATAGGAACTGCATCTATTTAAAAAAAATCACTATTATTACTGTAACAAGAGTGTGCACACGCTGAAATGTCTCGCCTGTTCTCTAACCATTGATTTTATGTTGAAAGTCTTAAAGATAAAGGTTTTACTACAAGTATCACATAAACTTAACATTTTTAAAGATCCATGACAATGAGGTCAAGGGCAGATAAAAACTGTCACACAGACATGTACACCTTACACTTATTCCATACACCAAATATAGTTGACCCATTGCTTATGGTAATTGAAAAACAGACCAAAACACAAAAGCTTAATGTTAACCAATGAACCATGGAAAAGAGGTCAAGGTCAGATTATACTGGCTAGACAGACATGTACACCTTACAATCATTCCATATACCAATTATAGTTGACCTATTGCTATTAGTATTTGAAAAACAGACCAAAACACAAAAACTTAACATTGACCAATGAACCCGGCATGAAAATGAGGTCAAGGTCAGATTATACTGGCTAGACAGACATTGATACTAATTGTATTGCTTTTTTGTTATTTAATGTTATTCAGGGTTATATCTGGTCTGTATACCAACTTTGATAAGTGTTTGGTATAACTATAAATTTTCACTTCGTACTATGAACATCAAAATTATTTATTTTGTAAAAATATTTCCTTTCTCTATTGGTACTGTACACGTATACCTAACAACAAAATTATTTTCATTTACCTGTGTTTAAAGTTATTGCAAATGTCTGATATTTTTGTTCGAGTATATTGTTTTTCTTTAATTGTTTAACATTTCTTACCGATATAAC